GGGTGGGGGGGGGGTAAATTTTATCCCTCTTTTAGATGCATGATACAGTGTACAGCTTAAGTAGTAATGAAGTAGTATCACACATTAGATACAGTGTACAGCTTAAGTAGTAATTAAGTAGTATCACACATTTTATACAGTGTACAGCAGTATTTTTATCCTACAGTAGATACTGTATCGAGGCTTGTCCTGTGAGTCCCCAGTTTTAAAAATGTCTTTTTTCTGCATAAAATAAAAGAAATTAATTTTGATGTGGTTTTATTTCAATTTAATTGATTATTTTGCTTGTACATCAACTTCATCAATGATTGAATGATCTGATCAAGGAGATCCTGGACTTTTCCTTTGAATAAATGGCAAGTTTTCATAGCAATTTGTTTGCTTTTCAAGTTTTTTTAGTTTTTTCAAGTTTTTGTTTATTTTTTAAGTTTTTTAAGTTTTTAAGTTAAGTTAACCTCGGGACCAGACTACAATTTTGTTATCTGTTCATACGATATATGTCTTCGATTCTGTGTTCAATTATGCCCGTATTTCCTGTATTGTCATTAATGTTCAATAATAAATTGAAGAGTTTAATTTAAATTTAAATTTTGAATTAATTTAACTTAAATTACAAATTATTATTAAATTATTTTTTTAATAATTTAATGTAGTTTTCTGGACACAGTTGATAGTTGACACAGTTGACACTGTCGACACAGTTGACTAGGAAGTCCCGAACTCATCATAAAGTCACAGTTGACACAGTTGACACAGTTACCACAGATGCCACAGTTGACACAGTTGACAGTTGACACAGTTACCACAGATGCCACAGTTGACACAGTTGACAGTTGACACAGTTACCACAGATGCCACAGTTGACAGTTGACACAGTTACCACAGATGCCACAGTTGACAGTTGACACAGTTACCACAGATGCCACAGTTGACACAGTTGACACAGTTGCCACAGTTGACACAGTTGACACAGTTGACACAGCTGACAGCTGACAGTTGATACAGTTGACACAGCTGACAGCTGACACAGTTGACACAGCTGACAGCTGACAGTTGACACAGTTGACACAGTTGACACAGTTGACACAGTTGACACAGTTGACACAGTTGACTAGGAAGTCCCGAACTCATCATAAAGTCACAGTTGACACAGCTGACACAGTTGACACAGTTGACAGTTGACAGTTGACACAGTTGACAGCTGACACAGTTGGACACAGCTGACAGCTGACACAGCTGACAGCTGACACAGCTGACAGCTGACACAGCTGACAGCTGACAGCTGACACAGATGACACAGTTGACTCACGAGGCACGGCAGAGCAGAAGGCTGTGCACTCGTTGAAAGTCTTGAACCTGTTCATGTTGCCAGCACAGCCGCTGTACCGGAACAGGCGGCAGGCACCACCGGTACTGCCACCTGCCGGGTCGTAGTGCCATCTGTTGTAGCTGCCATCGCACGGACCAGCGTCAGGTGGCAGCTGACAGATGGCTGCGGGTGTGAGAAAGCTGGTTACACCCCTAACAAAATTTGGGTACCGCCCAGGCTTCTGCGCAGGAGTCGCTACATTCGGCTTACAGTTACTCTGGGTCTGCTGGGCCACCCGATCAGCTTCTGATCAGAATCTAATTTCCGACTTTATGATCGCCTGAGAGTATGATAAGTGTGTCCTGAGAGTATGACAAGTGTGTCCTGAGAGTATGATAAGTGTGTCCTGAGAGTATGACAAGTGTGTCCTGAGAGTATGACAAGTGTGTCCTGAGAGTATGTCAAGTGTGTCCTGAGAGTATGACAAGTGTGTCCTGAGAGTATGACAAGTGTGTCCTGAGAGTATGACAAGTGTGTCCTGAGAGTATGACAAGTGTGTACTGAGAGTATGACAAGTGTGTCCTCAGAGTATGACAAGAGTTGACCCTGCCGAGTCATGCCGAACATGCAAACTTCCCATTAGCGGCTGATTTGTGCGCTCCCCGAGTCCTGGCGGCTCCTGTTGTAGAGTCGATCTTGCATCCCAAACTTTAATAGGGACGGAAACTTAGGGGCATCACAAACTTCGTTGTTGATCCGTAGATGGCTTGTGTAGTCAGGCCCATAGATGGTTAAGCTTCAGATGACTTTTGTACAGACGGTTAGACAGGGTGGTTGAGGTTCAGACGGTTAGACAGGTGGCTAAGGTACAGATAAATTAGGCTATTAATGAGATAACAGTGATCTAGGTTTCCATCTGGGCATCGTTGCCAGCTGGGAAGGCTCTCTCACCTTGGTTGGCCACCTGGGTATCGTTGCCAGCTGGGAAGGGCACGTCTCTGTACACGCAGACGGTGGAGCACTCTTGCTCCGTGGAGAACCTGTTGCCGTTGCCACCACAGCCCGAGTACACGAACTGCTTGCAGCTGCGGTCCCTGTTGACATAACTCGTTGACATAACGTAGGTGTTGACATAATGGGTTGACATAACGTCTTTGCATAACGTGTTGGCACAATTTATGAACCGATGTACCGCCATACGCAGCACAGTAAGTGGGAGACTTACTGCGTTTAATGCTGACAAGTGTAAAGTACTTCACCTCGGCAAGAACAATGATCAGCAAGCTTACAGCATCAGAAGACACGGTTGCAACGAGAGGGTTATGATTGAGAAGTCTTGCGTGGAAAAAGATCTTGGAGTTTAGGTCGACAAGGAGATAAATTTTTCTAGGCATACTGAAATGCAAGTTAATAAATTCAATAAACGGCTTCGGCTGATCAGACGCTCCTACGAGTAACTGGGGGTCGTGGGGGATTTACTGGAGGTCGTGGTGTTGACTTACTGGGGATCGTGGTACCATTTGCGAAGGAAGTCCACGCATCGGCCCTCGCTGACGGGCTGGTGGCAGACATCTGGGGGGAGAGGGGGGGAGGTGAGAAGGGGAAAGAAAAAGGGTGTGTTGGGTAAGAAGTGAGGCAAGGGGGTAATAGGTCAGGTATACGCCCCCTCACCCCAAGTAGCCTGGGGTGAGACTGGGGAACCATGCACAATCTCCCCCTCCTTTCGTGGCAACGTGTCAGTACTCTGGAAGTCTCACTCTCTAAGTTGGGAACCAGTCCGGTTATCATCTTCCAAGTGAACCCTATGATATACCTTTCTCTTCTCCTCACCAGTGAGTAAAGTCCCTGGTGTTTTAGCCTCTCCCAGTAGTTCAAGTTCAGCTCCCTCATGCCGCTGATCCTGTACGTGAAGGTCCGCTGCACTGCCTCTAATTTCCGCACGGCATCTGCCTTGAGCGGCGACCAAAACTAGCAGCAGTACTCAAGATTTTGGAGCACGACGGCTCTGAAGAGTGTAATAACTGGCGCTGCATCTCTCATTAGAAATGTCTGACAGATTCATCACATCCGTAGTCTGCATCGCGCTGTTGCGGGAGATCTCAACATACACCGGCTATCCCGACGGGATAGTGGAATAAATCGACGCCAAAAACTAATAGAAGGCCAGAAAACTGAAGTTAAAATCTACGTTATAAAATTTTATTAATCCACGACCATATTAATCCATTACTAATCCACGACCTTAAGGACTTATAAATACAGAGAGTTAGGATGCCCTATGCTAGGTAAACACCGACGGCCTTAATAAATACCTTACGATAAGTAAACACAAACGGTTAAGACTATCATACGCCAAACGTAGCACTGACGGCTTACAATATTCCACCATTGAGTAAACGCAGACTAGTTACAATATTCCATCATTAGGTAAACACAGACGATTTACAATATTTTACATTACGTAAACACAAACAGTTTCTTCCGAAATTCCATAAGGCATAAAACGGGTGGACACGATGCTGGAGGCTAAAAGAATGAGACAGCAGATTTGGTACACTCCCCTAGTAACCAGCGGAACCCTGGATGACAAGAGACTGGCGAGCTGCGCAGCTACAGCGCGACTATTTCCTCGATGCCGGTATTGAACGAGGCTTCGGTACTATTCAACACGCCGAGATCTCGAACAAGTTGCTTCTCCTCACTTTCTGTGACGTCCGATGCCAAGTAGCGATGTGGTATCCCGATTTCTGTGCCCACTCCGTATCTCAATACTTTGAACTTGGTGCCGCTGAACTGCATGCTGTTCAAGGGGGCCCAATCGTAGATTGACGATCGGTCATCTTGTAACCTCTCGCAGTCTAGGTCAGCTGAGATCTTCATCAGCACTCTTGCATCGTCCGCAAATGACGCTATAGGTGCGTGGGTAAGCTCCGAGTCGATATCGGTAATGTGGATGAGGAAAAGGATTGGTCCAAGCACTGAGCCCTGTAGATCTCCGCTTTTTACCCTCGCTTCGCCCGATTTCGAGTTTCCAATTGCGACAGCTTGTACTCTATCTGTAAGGAAGTTGTGGATCCACCTCAACATTCTTCCTCCTACCCCAACAGCCTCAGCTTTCTAAAGAGCACCCCATGGTCAACTTTGTCAAAAGCTTTAGCAAAGTCTAGGTATACCACGTCCACGCCAGCTCCCTCCTCCAGCTGGGCCACAAGACGGTTATGGTCCTCCAGTAACTGCGACAAACAGGAACGATTACGCCGGAACCCATGTTGTCCGTTATTATAGAGGTCAGCCTCTTCCATATACCGGACAAGCCTCCTGCCACTACCTTCTCAAAAACCTTGATCACATGTGAGGTCAAAGTCACAGGTCTGTAATTTTGGGGTCTGCCCCTCTGACCTCCTTTGTGGATTGGTGTTATCGGTCCCACTTTGAGACCTTCAGGATAATTCCCTCCGTTATCGAGGCTTTCCAGAGCAATTTGAGCGGAGCCTTCGGTGCTCCAACACACTTTTTTCTTAGGTGCGACTCCGTTAGTGCAATCATAAAGATCCCACCCTCGTCGGCCATCTCACGCAGCACGCCAATCTTGTGACGCGCTCTCAGTGGGAAGAGCCCCTCGATGTTAGCCAGCAAAATGCCAGACTCTTCCTTTATTGGTGCGCTTACCTGCGTCTCCACCACTCTGCCAGGCGCCTCGGGCCCAGCAGCTCCTGCATCTGGAGTTGAATTATTTCCAGCTGCTGCATCTGGTTGATGTTTTTAGTTCCTCATTTCTAAAAAAAAGCACCGTAGGTAATCTCTGGCCCCCCGCGTGCGTCCCTGTCCCATACGCTTGGGCCACTCCCTGGAGTAGCTAGGTCATCCCTCCTTCTCCAAGAACTACCCTCCTCACCGCTCCTTCTACCAGTGTTTCCCGCAACCCTATCACCGCCTTGTCTTCCCTGTGATGGTGGGGACTGTGAGGGTGAGGGAGTGGGCTGGCGTCCAGCAGGAGCCCTTCGTTGTGGGGGTGAACCATTGTTGCCTCCTCTTCTGTCGGTTTCCTCCGTTCGCTTCTGCAATTTTATGTGAAGAAACCTGCAGTTTTCATTCGCGTACCCCCACGTACCCTCACGCACCCTCATCTACCCCCACGTACCCTGGCCACGCAGTCTGCCGCACTGGCGCTCGCAGGCCTCCACGGAGGAGAAGCGGTTAGCGTTGCCCTCACAGCCGCCGTAGCTGAAGCCCACACAGCGACCCTGTGTTAATACAAAATATACAGACCATACAGCGGCTTTGTAATACAGAATATACAGATTCCCTGTGTTGATTCAGAATATACAGCGGCCCTGTGTTGATACCGAACATACAGCGACCTTGTGTTAACACAGAATATACAGCGGCCCTGTGTTAACACGGAAAATACACCTCATACAGCGGCCCTGTGTTAATACAGAATATACAGATCATACAGCGGCACGTTGTGGGAAAAATACAAGCAATAGGGGACTCCCTCACGCAGCCTCACCTGATGGGGGTCGTAGTACCAGTGGGGGATGGCGGCCCTGCAGCTTCCCCCGTCCACGGGGAGGAAGCAGATGGCTGGTTTGTCCTCCTCGAAGTCTGGGGAAAATAAGAGGGTGATTATTGGGAGTCATGCACTTTCCCCACATCCAAGGGGAATAATAAGGGTGGAGGGAGAATAATGTCATCATCCCCCCTCCAAGAGGACGGGCGAGGAGGGGTGGCCCAAACTCCCCCGACCTCGGGAGGCAGGGAAGGGGTGACCGAAAATCCCCCGCATTCGGGTGGCATGAGGAGGGGTGACCGGGTGGCATGAGGAGGGGTGACCCAAACATCCCCCGCTGGAGGAAGAAGAGGGGGATGACCCCTCTCATCCCCAATCAAAGCAAAATATGGGAAATACATCATTTCATGCTTTCCCCTCGTTAGGGAGAGGGGAGGAGCGTGGTTCACCCACCAGGTGCGTCCAGGTTGGCGGGGGCGGCGGTGGTGGGGGGAGCGGCGGAGCAGCGCTGCAGGCACAGACTCAGCGTGTCGAACCTGCGGGGGGCATGGAGGCGTTACAAAGGGGCTGATGGATGAGGTACTAAGAGGGAGTAAGTGCAAAGAACCTAACGTAACCTAACCTAAACTAACTGAATCAAACCTAACCTAACCTGACTGAACCTAACCAATCCTACCCTAACGTTACCTAAGCCAACCTAACCTAGACTAATCGAACCTAACTTAGCCAAAGGTAACTTAACCTGACCTAACCTAACTTATCATTTAAATAAATTCACTTCTGGTAGCATATATATAAACGAGAACGCCCCGGCTTCTGCCCAAGAGTTATTCCGGGTCTCTTTGGCCACCCGATCGAAATCTGGTGGTCAGAATTTACTTTCCGACTTTATGGCCGCCTGAGAGAATGACATGTATGTCCTGAAAGTATGACAAGTGTGTCCTGAGAGTGTGACAAGTGTGTCCTGAGAGTATGGCAAGTGTGTCCTGAGAGTATGACAAGTATGTCCTGAGAGTATGACAAGTGTGTCCTAAGAATATGAAAAGTATATCTCGAGAGTATGACAAGTGTGTCCTAGCAATATGACAAGTGTGTCCTAGCAGTATGACAAGTGTGTCCTGAGAGCATGACAATGTTTGACCTGTCCGAATCACGCCGAGCTTTCAAGCTGCCCATAGGCTTCTCTGCAAGCCCGGTCGAAAAGGACTTTAGCGGCTCATTTACGTGCTCCCAGAGTCATGGGCAGCACTTGTTGCGAGTTAGGCTCGCATCCAAAAAATTGTTTTGGCAGTGACTCACGTTTATTTCAAAGCCGGCGAGCACAGCTTAATTGAGACCTCTTTCGCCACACCCTCAAGTAATTTCTCGCTGGCCCACCGCCCATTCTCTGATCTGCCCTTTTTCGGGCCTCTTCACCCGCCGTTATGCCATCCTTATGAAAAGCAATCCTTTCACTTTCCCGCCCTTCCTTACTAACCCTTTTTCTTAACCTTCCCGTCTTAAGCCTCATCATTCTACAATCCTTCTTTATCACTTTATCTTTGGTCCTCCACTCGAAATCCCCCTTCCTTTCTACAGCCTCCTCTACCAGTCCCCCACCTGTTCTTGTTGCCCAGGCAGCCGCTGTAGTGGAAGCTGCTGCAGGTGCCAGTGCTGGCGTCGTAGTAGTACATGGGGAATACCCCCGAGCAGGGGCCCACCTCCACCGGCAGCTGGCATACGTCTGATGGAACAGGTGGTCAGTGGGTCAGGTGGTGGGTAGGTCAGGGGATGTGTGGGTAGGTCAGGGGATGGGTGTGTCAAGCTATTGATGGTTCAGAAGGAATGTGTTTCCGGTGATGAGGCTGAACGCGTGTCTGATCTCACTTGCTATGGTCAACATTAGAAAATTTCACCCGCTCACACTGAGTTACCCATTCACCTTCCACAAAACTCCCCAAGGCACCTCTCACTCACCATCCTTCTCCGCAAAATATCTCCCAACCACCCCATCAAAATTTGGAGCCCGCCTAGGCTTCTACAAAGAGTCGCTACACTCGGCATAAAGTTATGCTATTCTAAGCATGCTATGCCACCCGATCGAAATTAGTTTCTAGTCAGAATCTCCTTTCCTAGTCCCTAAGAGTTTGGGGAGGGTTGACTGAACCGTGCCATACCGAGATTGCAAGCTGAGGCTGTTCTGCAATCCCTGAGCTGAAGCGGTTATAGAGTGGCTAATTTGCGTGCTCAGCGAGTCTTTGGCGACACCAATTCCTCGTCGTCACCGCCGAGTCTTAGGCGTCAGCTAGGCTCTCCGAGTCCTAGGAGTCACACGTTAGAATTGTGTTAAAACACACAAACCCCCACTCACCCTGGCTCTCTCCACAGACGTGATCGCACTCGGCGCTGCTCCTGAAGGCGTTGCCGTTGCCGCCGCAACCCGAGTAGAGGAACTGGCGACAGACGCCGGTGCGGCGGTCGTAGAAATAGCGCGGCAGGTAGTCGTCGCAGTCACCGCGCTCCTCTGGCAGCTGGCACACCTCTGGCAACCATTGCATGACCATTATTACGGCAGCTGGTACACCTCCGGCAACTATTACAAGGCAATATTCACGGCAGCTGGCACAACTCTGGCAACCATTACACCATGCATGAATGACAGCATTTCTATCATTGTCCTAATAATACGAAAGGTTTGTATTAGAAGTACGACAAGCGTGTTCTGAGAGCATCACAAGGTTTGGCCTTGCCGGAACACGCCGAGCTTGCAAATTGCCCAGAGCCTCTACTTCAAGCCCGGTCGAAGCGGACATTAGCGTGCTCCATGGGTCCTAGCGGCACCTTGTACGGAATCGGGCCCTGGTCCAAATTTTGCTCAGGAAGAGCCGATAAGGACACCTGTCACCCGAGTACTCATAACGTAAGCTCCACATTCCCTCTCTTAACCACGCAGGGGGTTGGAGAAACCTAGTTGTCCTCCTACCCCTAACTCACCCACTCTGGGGACGAGGAGGATTCTGTTGTTCTCCTACCCCCAACTCACCCACGCTTGTGGCGAGGGAGACCTTGTTGTCCTCCTACCCTCTACTCACCCATGCAGGGGGTTGGAGAGACCTAGTTGTCCTCCTACCCCTAACTCACCCACTTTGGGACGAGGGGGATTATGTTGTTCTCCTACCCCCAACTCACCCACGCTTGTGGCGAGGGAGACCTTGTTGTCCTCCTACCCTAACCTCACACGCGCTGGCGGCGAGGGAGACCCTGTTGTCTTCCTATCCCCTACTTACCCACGCTGGCGGCATCGAGGGAGACCCTGTTGTCTTCCCATCCCCTACTCACCCACGCTGGGGGCGAGAGGGACCCTGTTATCCTCTCGGTCGCACTCTTCGGTGCAGGTCTCGTAAGTGAGGAAGTTGTTGCTGTTGCCCCCACAGCCAGTGTACACGAATGACCGACACTCACGGGCGAAGAAGTCGTAGTACCTGAGGAGGATTAAGGTGTGGCTTGAGAGTGTGATGTTTTGGTTAGCAGTGAACTAAAAGGGGTGTATGAAGAGGGAAATTGGGCAATACAGTTTTTATATCAGAGGGGGCAAGGGTGAGCTGGATAGGGTAAACGAAATCTTGGCAAAAACGGGAGGATGATGAGAGGCTTGCCAAGAACAAGAGGATGGCAGAGATAGACCACTGATTATCCACCAGCTGCAGACTCACCATCTGTTCTCGTAGTCGCTGCAGGCCCCCTCTTCCTTGGGCAGCGCACACTTATTCTCCACAGAATCTGAGTGGGAAAGAGAGAAAGTTCCCCTTAATGAGGGAAGACTCAGCTCCACTTTAATTTGAACCTACTCCTAATGTCCTTCGAAAAATATATTAAACATGTTAGGAGTTCACCGACTTTATTGTTAAGTTACAGAGGTTATTTTTCACCGTGAGGTAGCATCAACATTGACGAAGTGCGAGCAATATTGGCAGGAAAGACATTCGGTGTTCAGGTACGTAATATAATATATGTAACTATGTGCCGGGACACTTCGTGATCAATGGTACCAGACGGTTCCATGTCAATAGAAGGTCAATGTGACGCCTCATGTTCCCTTCGGTGTATTAAGCGGCAACTGGTGTTCTACTCACCGTGGGACAGGTGGCCCCCTCTCCGTATAATACAAGGGAACAGATGGTCCACTCACTGTATGATACGGGGGACATGTAGCCTCCTCAATGTATGATACCGGGAGCATTTGATCTACTCACCGTAATATGCGGGATGACTGGAGGCCCCACACCTTATGATACGGGCGCATTAGGTCCACTCACTGTATGATACGTGGTGCATTTGGTTAACTCACCGTATGACACGGGAGGGCAGGTGGTTTCACACTCCATGCGGGCCTCGAAGCGGTTGGCGTTGCCTTCACAGCCCGTGTAGTAGAATGGCATGCAGCGGTTCTCGGTGGTATCGAAGTACCATCTGGGGATGGTGTCCTCGCAGGAACCTGACTTCTTCGGTAGGGTGCAGATATCCTTGGACCGTCCTCTGATGCACCTCTGCATGCACTCGTTTTCTGAGAGGAAGTTGTTGTTGTTGCCCTTGCATCCCCCGAATGTGAACTGCACGCACTCATCTTTCGTTTGGTCAAAGTACCAGCGGCTGAAGTTGCCACGACATGGTCCTGGTTGTACCTCCATCAAGCACACGTCCATTTTTTCCGGCAAGATGCAAGTCGTTTCGCATTCTTGTGCCGTTGCAAACCGGTTCTTGTTGCCAAGACATCCACCATAGTAAAAAGGCTCGCATGTTTTCGATACGCTGTCGTGGTACCATGACAGCTCTGATGCCGAACATGGGCCTTCCACTTTCGGAAGGTGACAAACATCTATGCCTTCGGGCTCCACACAAGCCGCATTACACAATTCTAAGGAATCGAATCGGTTGAGGTTGCCTTCACAGCCTCCGTACCAGAACCGTGTACAACCTCCGTACTGCAGGTCGAAATACCATTTCACCGTGAATGTTCGGCAGGGCCCACGGTCCTTCTCGTGGCCACACACTTCTCCTGGTATGATGGGGCTGGTCTCTTCGCACCCCTGGAAGAGTTCTCCTTGAGATGGGGTCTCACCGTCAGGACAACATCCGAAAGATGATGCCTCACATCCACATCCTTCCATTTCGGGACCTTTTGCTGGGGTTCGGCCGTCCAAGCAGCAGCCGAACTCCGAGTTTGAGCACCCACACCCCTCAAGTCTTGGCCCAGAGGCTCTAGTTTCTCCATCAAGACAGCAACCGAATTCAAAAGTATTGCAGGCACACCCAAGGTAGTCAACCCCAAGAGCAGGAGTGTGTTGGTCGGGGCAACACCCAAATTCAGTATACTGGCAGCCGCAGCCAGCGTTGTTTTGGCCTCTGGCTGTTGTCTTGTTATCGGGACAACAACCAAAATCGGTGAACTCACAACCACAGCCCTCAAACTTAGGACCCCTGGCCTCAGTGACATAGTTGGGGCAACACCCGAATGGAGAAACCAAGCAACAGCCTTCCATATCTGCGCCATGAGCGGCGGTATAGTTGTCAAGGCAACAGCCAAACTTGGTGTAGGAGCAGTCTGGGAGTAAGTCAACCTCACCCGGAGTGGTCGACTCCACTGCTTCCATCTTCTCTTCTTCTTTTTCTTCTTCCTCTTCTGGACATCCCTCTTTCTTCGGGCCCTGAGCGGCCATCCTTCTATTTCGGCAGCATCCAAATTCAGTGATTTTGCAACACCCAAGGCCGTTACGTCCGTCAGCAGCCGTTTCGTTGTCAGGACAACAACCGTATTTGGACGACGCACAAAGTGGAGGACACTCCTCACCTTCAGTAGATTCCTTTTCCGTCTTGCCATCGGGACAGCACCCGAAGAGGGAGGACTCGCACACAACTTTAGGATCTTGACACTCCTCGCCGTCAGCGGTCTTCTTAGGCGTTATTTCATCGGGACAGCATCCATAGAGCGAGTCCTTGCACGACTTCAACATGGCACATCCCTCCCAAAAAGGTCCCGCTGCTTCCGTAAGGCCATCCTGACAACAACCGAACTCACTCTTGAAACAATCAGACTTAGGGCGAGGCTTACACATCGGTGAACCAATGCGAGTACGTTTTTTCAAAGGTTCGAACTTTGGCGAAGAGACTAACTTTGGAACGTCTTTTTCTAGAGATACCGCATCTTCATCAACATCAATCTCTTCCAATAACATTGTCGTCGACATGGGCATTTCTTTGTCGTCTTCATCGTCACCTGAGCCTTCAGTTATGTCGTTTTCAACAGGTACGTCGTGCGCTACCGTGGTGAACTCTGAATCGCCCAAACCAGAAGATTCTAAATCATCGTCCACCGTAGAGTCTTCTCCAGAGCTCATTTCATCTCCGGACGATAATTCAGCTCCAGAACCAGATTCATCTCCGGAACCTGATTCTTCTCCAGAACCAGATTCATCTCCAGAGGCAAATTCATCCGAGGAACCCTTTTCATCTTCCACACCAGAAGCTTCTTTGTCGCCGGAACCAGAACCAGATTCTTCGTCATCTCTTGAAACGGCCTCATCTCCTGAACCTGATCCCGATTCTTCGTCAGGAACCGATACCATTTCATCTCCAGAAGCAGGCTCTTCAGTGGATCCCGACCCTTCTTCTTGCGGTGACGCTGTCGTTTTCTCTAACTCATCGATGATATTATCGTAAAAAGCGTTTTCGTACTCCCGAGCTTTCTTAGGATCTTTTGTCGTCATTTCATGAACACTTGATGGCACCATCTCTTCGCCGGACCCGGACACTTCATCCCCAGAACCGGATAATTCATCACCAGAACCAGAAACTTCATCACCTGACCCGGACATTTCTTCACCAGACCCCGACATTTCTTCGCCAGAACCGGACATTTCTACACCAGAACCGGATATTTCTTCGCCTGACCCAGACATTTCTTCGCCAGACCCGGACATTTCTTCGCCAGACCCAGACATTTCTTCGCCAGACCCGGACATTTCTTCACCAGACCCGGACATTTCTTCACCAGACCCGGACATTTCTTCACCAGACCCAGATTCCTCTTCCATGTCTGGTGCAGACCCAGACTCGGGCTCCTCCTCATCATCTTCTTCCTGTGGAACACAAGATGTGAGGAGAATTATTATAAAGCAAACCAACACCAAAGGGTAATCGGTTACAGACGAGATCATTACCATCTGAAAATGAGATGGGCTGTAATGGGGGACAGACAGATTGACCATAACTTAAAATCAAGAGATATGACGATGGAAGTATGGCACAATGACTAATATTTTAACTCATAAGAGGTGGCAATGGAGGGACAGAGAGAATCATGATTATCGAACATGTAGGACATCTAACTGAGTGAAGAAATAAAAGTTTCCGTTATACTAAGCCGTAACTTTTGTGACAATACGAAATAAAAGTTTAGAAGCAAAATATTTCTACAGCGACATCGCCGTTACTAACCTCGTAGTCGTAATCGTAGGGCAGTTCGCCTTCCTCACACCAGTCCAAGTCCTTATCGAAGTCTTCTTCATCATCTTCCTTCCCGATTTCGTCGTCACCACTTCCCTCCTGTAGCTTTAATTCGTCACCACTCCCATCTTCATCACCACTACCATCTTTATCAGCACTTCCTTCTTTTTCATCTTCTTTGTCTTCAGGTTCGTCCATCTCGTCTTCCATGGTTGTGGTTATGGCGACGGTGGTCACCTCAGCGTCTTCTGCACAAACAATTGAGTATTAAGATCACTTGACTGCTTAAATCGCAAGTTTATCAAAAATTTAATAGCAAATAAAATAGCCAGAAAATTCACAATTTATTTTAAAGGAAAACGTTCCATCCAGAGTCCAGCTCCATCGCCAGATCAAAGCCTAAAACACAGGTACCAACAATTATCAAATAAATTCAAATTGAAGCATAAATCGTCGAATGAAAACAAATACGAATGACGTAAATACGAGCAGACAAACCTATCTATTTACAATTTCAAGGGAAATGAACTGTTGGCGGCATTTAAACTAGGCTTTTGTTTAAAAATATAAAGGGACTCTAAAATTCGCAGGTCGGAAACACCGGTCGTAGAGGCTAAAATTCTACGCGCACTGCTGAATGAGGGGGATGCGCAAGCAGGTTTCCTGTTCTAAAGCACCTTCCTTTGTGCTGTGCCAAAAGAAAACTCCTTTTTCAAAGGAAGGAAGGATGTCCATGTTGTACAACCTTCTACCTTCTACATGTTGTACAACCTTCTACCTCCTACATGTTGTACAGGGTGCGGCGTGGGAACTTACTCTTTTAAAAAAATCACAAAGTAAAAAGTATTAAAGATAGCGTTTTAATTCTTTCTTTTTTACAAAGAGCAACATTTAAAGTTTCGTTGGGTTTACTTACAAGTTTAATTCTTGAATATTACATCTTGTAGGTGACTCCTGGTTACACTCACCACCACACGCATGGTTGTTGCAGGCCACCACGGCGGCGGGGATGGCGGTGGCGTTACACCGCGTCACCGCCACGCGGGTGTCGTTGTAGAAACACAGCACCTTGCGGGAGCGTAGCCCCCCACCGCACTCCTTGGAGCACTGGGGGAGTGGGGGAGGTGGGGAGTGGGCGAGGAAAAATATGTATATATGCACGAATATACAGTATTACATTGCACAGAAGGCTATATAAGTTATAATTATATTACATAACTTATATATTATAAGTTATATAAGTATATAACTTCAAACTTATATATCAGAAGGTATAAAGTTTATATATATCCCTAGTCATAACTTATAGATATAGTTCGTTTATAACCCCACCTTTTTATAGGGTCCGGTGAACCATTCCCCTTCTTCCCCACACTCAGCCTCATCCAGGGATGCGGCGTCACACTCCCGCTGGGGTTTGGGTTCCTTCTTGGGGTTGCAGTTATGGGGGGGCACGGGAGTGGGGGTCCCGGAGGTCCCGGTGGGGTCTACCTCCACGCGGCCGCAGAAGACGTGGCGCGTCTGCAGCCCCCGAGCCCCACATGTCGAGGTGCACTGTGGGGGGAGGGGTTAATGTGGGGTCACCACATGTCCAACATATGGTCACCACATGGCCACGACATGGTCAACACATGGTCACCACATGGTCACCACATGGTCAACACAGGGCCACCACATGGCCAACACATGGTCACCACATGGGCTCCACATATGCTCCACATGGTCACTACAGGCCACCACATGGTCATCACACGGGCTTCTCATGGTCACTGCACGGTCACCACACGGTCACCTCATGGTCTCCACATGGTCACCACGTGGACACCACATGGTTAACATATGGTTACCACATGGTCACCACATGGTTAACACATGGTTTACACATGGACACCATACGGTCATCACACGGTCACCACACGGTCACAACACGGTCACCACACGGTCACCTCATGGCCGTCACATGGCTACCATGTGGCGACCATGAGATGACCATTGGTAGCCATAGGCATATGGGCATGCACACACACCGGCACCAGGTATGTACATTTCATCAGGACTTCCCTCAGGAAACCCGGGTCTCCAGTTGACTTACGAAGATTGTTTCTAATTGCCTCCCAATCCGTTCTTAGATGGTGGAAGTTGAGTCCTGCCACTCCCTCTTGGGTACAGGGCCTATACTTTCAAAAAAAGTTAAGAGATCGTAAGTTCATCAGCCAATCATTGACGGCCTTTCAAGCAAAATCCAGCAATCATAGACAAGAAAATAGAGCGTAAGTACTTACATTCACTTAGCGAGTTTTGAAAGTATGGCCCCAGACCTGGGCTGATTGCCCTGATTAAGGTATAGACCTACTGGCTAAGGTATAGACCACCTGGGGTATAGACCTACTTATAGGGTAATGACCTGGGGTATAGAGCTGTAGTATAGACCTGTAGTATAGTCATGGGGTATAGATCTGGGTTTGGGGCTTTCTATAGACTTGGGCTGACTGGCCTGGTTGGGCTGGGCCAATACCTCATGGGATAAAATCCTGGGCTGATAGCCCTGATTGAGGTGTAGACTTGGGGTACAGACCTGGGCTGGTTTTCAATTCCAATTGTTGTGTCCACCATCACTAGGCAGTGGTAGGACAGTGAGGTATCTTCAACCCGAACGTCGACCATCATTCTGTGAGTGTCAGTAAAGGAGAGATAAAGGATATTTTGTTCCCTTGTTCGCACCCGTACGTGCTGACGATGAAAATAACCCGCAGAAAACTGCGCTAGTTTAGCTTCCAAACTTCTGACGTGGCCATTATAGTCCAAACCGTTTGGATTTGTCCAACGGAAACGAGGTAGGTTGAAGTTTCCACCCTTTATCAGGTTTGTGATGGCTCTCCCAGTCCATCTACCCTGGTCTTTAATTTTTTGATGTTCTTGTTGGAATTATCCGAGGGTGAGCAGGTGATCTCTAAACTATAGCTACGCAGAGGTCGAATTTTTTAATATAGAGCAGCACGCGTTCAAGGAAGCCATCAAAGTTAGAGCTCAAGTTCACCGTTCTTTCCTGTGATGAAATTCCTAAGATAAACAATACCTTCTCCGTTCTCCTTCTTCTCTTCCTCCTTTCCTTTCGATCCGCACGGTAATGTTGGAATCCTTCCATTGCAATTGCAGCATCATGGATATCTTTTCTTAGGTGTGACTCCGTTAGTGCAATCATAAAGATCCCACCCTCGTCGGCCATCTCACGCAGCACGCCAATCTTGTGACGCGCTTTTCGTGGAAAGAGCCCCTCGATGCTGGCTGCAGAATAACAGACCCTTCCCTTGTTGGTGCGCTTACCTGCAGCGACACCGCTCTGCCAGGCATCCCTACCGTTATGCATGGAATCTCTGGTTCAGTGGCTACTGCAGTTACATCAGCTCTTTCCGCCTACAGAAAAACTCCTCGGTCGACCTAACCGCGTGTGTCCCTGACCCATATACATAATAACTCCACAAACACAATGACTCCATATACATGAATGACCCTCTGGATTAGCTACGACGTTTCATCTTCTCCTAGGACTTCGATCATCACCGGTCCTTTTCCTTGGACTCCCACCTTCACTTCACTGCCCTGTCTGCCCTGTAAAAAAAGAGCCGGACGTTCTGCAGTAAAACATTTGACTTGGGACGGGCAGTACCTTGGACCACATGAACAATGGACGTACCTCTGACCACACGGGCAGTAGACGTACCTCTGACCACGCGGGCAGTGGACGTACCTGTGACCACGCGGGCAATGGAAGTACCTTGGACCACTCGCCGGTGGCGGGCAGGGTACACTAAAGGGAAGGGCAGTAGACGTACCGTGGGACTGGCAGGGGACGGGCAGGGGACGGGCAAGAGACGGCAGTGGACGTACCTTGGACCACTCGCCGCTGCACCAGGCGTGGCGGCAAGGGACGGGCAAGGGACGGGCAGTGGACGTACCGTGGGACGCAGGGGACGGGCAAGGGACGGGCAGTGGACGTACCTTGGACCACTCGCCGCTGTACCAGGCGTGGCGGCAAGGGACGGTCTCTTTGCAACGTCGCTCCGTGGCAGGCCGACGTCTCAAGTCGCAGTAGACGTCGTCCACGACGTCGCCCGCGGCCGTCGCACACAGCAGCGCCCGTGTCTCCCGCGTCTGCCCGCAACTCGTGCACTGCCCGTGACAATGTCGGGGATCAGGCCGGGGGAGCGATGATCCCAACTAACAATAATGTAAATTATTGCCATTTTTGGTGACTTTTTGGGAAACGAAAAAATATTTCCTATGAGAAGAAAGGGGGTGCTTACTCCCATCCAGAGAGGGGGGTGTATTCACCCCCGTCCATGGGGGGGGTTACTAACCCCCGTCCAGGGGGTTACTCACCCCCGTTCAGTGGGGGGGGGGGGTTACTCACCCTCGTCTGGAAGGAGGAATGGTACTAAAACCCCCTCCAGAGGGGATTACTCACCCCCATCCAGGGGTTGGGATTACTCACCCCCGCCCAGTGGGGAGGTACTCACCCCATCCAGGGGGGTACTCACCCCTGTTCAGGGGGTGTGTGGGGGATTACTCACCCCCATCCATGGGGTTGGGTTACTCACCCCAATCCAAGAGTAGGGGTTACTCACCCCCGTCCACGGGGCTATGACCCAGTCAACCCCCTCGCAGGGGACGGCGTGGCAGCGCTGCTCGTCCCCAGGCCTCTCCTCCCCACACTCCTCGTCGGGGAGCACCTCTACGCCCCCACTCTTCCCCCCGCGGTGACACGTCACGGTGCGACGCTGCGTTCCTTCCCCACACAACGCGGGGCACTGCGGGGAGGAGGGGAGGTGGGGGTCATCATACGGGGTCATAATACGGGGCGTTAGGGAAAAGGTCATAATACGGGGGGGAGGTCATCATAAGGGGGGAGGCAATAATAGGTCATCATCATAGAAAGATCATCAAGTTTTTATACATATTATACATTTTATACATTTTTATACATTCTATACATTTATATACCTGTCATACATCTATGAACATTTCATACGCCTAAAATTTTATACATATATGCATTTTTATATACATTATGCATTTTATGCATATTATACATTTTATACACTATTTTATTCGTCAGCTTCGGTTAATTAAAGACGAACTTGGCTCCTGCCTCCATGTAATAACCTCTGAAGGAAGGTGATGTAGGTGCAGAATGCTACTGTTACCCTCATAATACTCAGAGATACACTGGCCGAGGGTACAATCTACCCTCACTATACAGCCCCAGGTCCCGGGTTCCCCACTCACGGGCTTCCACTCCCCCACGTGCCAGCTGGGGCAGTCATCCCCCACGTTGCAGGCCTCAAGTCCCAGGGGCGCGTCCGATACTGTGGGGACAAGATAGTGTATTGATACAGGCGTATTAGCGGTGCGTTAGAGGCGCGATGTAGGAGTAAGAGGGGCGCGTTAGAGGCGCGATATAGGCGTATTACGGGCGCGTTAGAAGCGCGATATAGGCGTATTGAGGGGGCGCTTGAGGCGTGATATAGGCGTATTACGGGCGCGTTAGAAGCGCGATATAGGCGTATTGAAGGGGTGCTTGAGGCATGATATAGGCGTATTAAAGGCGCGATATAGGCGTATTAAGGGCGCGTTAGAGACGCGATATAGGCATATTAAAGGCGCGTTAGAGGCGCGATATAGGCGTATTGAGGGCGCGTTAGTTGCGTATTAGAGGCGCGTTAATGGCGTTTAACAAGAGTGTAGGGGCGCATCAAAGGCGCACTATACAGGACACGTTGGAGACAGAAGTTTGTTATATCGGTGTAGTCTGCCACGCACCACATAATGCAATACACATAGGAGCAGCTACACAGTAAACAGAGTTTTGCTACACAATACGCGCCTGCGTGGCAACACAGAAAAAGGATATGACACATATTCATTTTTGGGTGAATAAGACCCTAGCAAATGAGACACTTACATGAAACACTTCGATGAGACACTTCAATGGACAGACACAAATGGGCAAACTGATATATTCGATGGACAGATACAAATGGACAAAATGATATATTCGATGGACAGACACAAATGGACAAACTGATATATTGACACTCGCCCGTGAGACACTCAGTGTCCGCCACGATGGCCATGTGACCATCAGCGACGCGCTGTCCGCAGTACACGTGGCGGTAGCGGACACCCGCCACCCCGCAGGTGGTGGACGAGCAGGCGGACCAGGGGGTGGTCTGCCAGCTGGGGGAGGGGAGGAGTAGGGGTTAGGGGTTGCAGAGACAAGTATTAGCGGCCAGTACACTGAGAGAAAAATGTCCCCTGTTTTTGAGACACCCAAGTGTTTCAAACACCCAAGTGTTTCAAAACAGGGGGCCTTTTTCTCTCAGTGTAGGCTTATATACACATGAGGCAAGTATTAGCAGGCAGTAGACTTACACACGAGGCCATTATTAGCGGTCAGTAGGCTTAAACACGAGGCAAGTATCAGCGGCCAGTAGGCTTAAACACGAAGCAAGTATTAGTGGCCAGTAGACTTACACACGAGGCAAGTATTAGTGGCCAGTAGACTTACAGACGAGGCAAGTATTAGCGGCCAGTAGACTTACAGACGAAGCAAGTATTAGCAGCCAGTAGCCTTACAGACGAGGCAAGTATTAGCTGGCCAGTAGACTTACACACGAGGCAAGTATTAGTGGCCAGTAGACTTACAGACGAGGCAAGTATTAGCGGCCAGTAGACTTACAGACGAAGCAAGTATTAGCAGCCAGTAGCCTTACAGACGAGGCAAGTATTAGCAGCCAGTAGCCTTACAGACGAGGCAAGTATTAGCGGCCAGTAGACTTACACACGAGGCAAGTATTAGCGGCCAGTAGGCTTAAACACGAGGCAAGTATTAGCAGCCAGTAGCCTTACAGACGAGGCAAGTATTAGCAGCCAGTAGCCTTACAGACGAGGCAAGTATTAGCGGCCAGTAGACTTACACACGAGGCAAGTATTAGCGGCCAGTAGGCTTAAACACGAGGCAAATATCAGCGGCCAGTAGACTTACACACGAGGCAAGTATTAGCGGCCAGTAGCCTTACATGCAAGGCAAGTATTAGCGGCCAGTAGACTTACACACGAGGCAAGTATTAGCGGCCAGTAGACTTACAGACGAGGCAAGTATTAGCGGCCAGTAGACTTACAGACGAAGCAAGTATTAGCAGCCAGTAGCCTTACAGACGAGGCAAGTATTAGCGGCCAGTAGACTTACAGACGAAGCAAGTATTAGCAGCCAGTNTGTACCTGTCTCTTATACACATCTCCACCTCCCCCGCAGGTAAGGCTGCACTCCCCCCACGCCCCCGCCCGCCACTCGTAGGTGTCGTCCGCCGTCTGCTGTACCACGGCGGGCACGCTGTACCTGTAGCGTACCCCGGGGTTGGGCTCCTGGTACAGCAACTGTGGGTACAGGATGTGGGTACAGGGTACAGCAGCTGTACAAGGGCAGCAGATTGGGGTACAGGGAACAGGGTACAGCAGCTATGGGAACAATGTACAGCAGCTGTGGGTACAAGGGATAGCAGCTGCGTTACACGTGGTGTGGGTACACAGCTGTGGGTGCAAGGGACAGCCGCTGTGAGAACAGGGAGTGGGTACAGCAGCTATGGGTACAGGGTGTGGGTACAGCAGAAGTGGGTACAGGGTGTGGGTACAGCAGAAGTGGGTACAGGGAGTGGGTACAACAGAAGTGGGTACAGGGTGGGGTACATCAGCTTTGGGTACAGGGTACAGCAGCTGTGGGTACAGGGTACTGCAGCTGTGGGTACAGGGTACTGCAGCTGTGGGTACAGGGTACTGCAGCTGTGGGTACAGGGTACACACGAGGCAAGTATTAGCGGCCAGTAGGCTTAAACACGAGGCAAATATCAGCGGCCAGTAGACTTACACACGAGGCAAGTATTAGCGGCCAGTAGCCTTACATGCAAGGCAAGTATTAGCGGCCAGTAGGCTTACACACGAGGCAAGTATAGGCCTCGTCTATATGATAATAATATAATATACCGTAGCGGTTTCAGCGTCTATTAGGCCGTAGGCCTGTCGCCGATTCTTAACATCGCAGAACATTCACAGCTTGATGTGGTCTCGAACTCGCAACTCGCTGCTACAATTCTGCTGTGCTTAACCGCCCGGTCTCCTCGCCGATTCTGACCAGAAACTGGCACACAGAGCTGGGATCGAACCCGCAACTCACGGCACCAAACTTGGTACTCTTAACTGTGACCGCTGGGTAACAATGACGAGTTTGTGGAGGCTTGTGATGAGGCAGATGCTGAAGCTATTACTTCAGTTGAGGAAGTGTAAATCATTGTTAATCAAGATTGAGTGTGGCTGGAAAATAAGTAGGACGGAGAACTATCCAGTGAGAATCAGCGACGTTGTTTCGTAAACTTACGGAGCGGCACAGACCTGCTCACCACGGCTGCTACAGCCCAACTACCGGGCACCCGCGTACAGGGGCAACATAAGCCAAAATTTTGACTTCAAGCTCCGCCCTCGCTACTTTTCACTTAAGAATGATCTCTACCCGGTGAAAATTTACAGACGCGGCAGCTTCTGAGTTGGAATACCAGGGCCTATACTTTCAAAACTCGCCAAGTGAACATAAGTACTTACGCTTTATTTTCTTGTCTATGATTGGTGGATTTTGCTTGAAAGGCCGCCAATGATTGGCTGATGAACTTACGATCTCTTAACCTTTTCTGAAAGTATGGACTTCCAGAACCTGGGGCGACTCTAAATTTTGTTAGGATAGTAGCATTGATAATAAGGCTAACTGATATCATCCTTATCAGGTGATATCTTCTTCGGGTGATATCATCCACGTTTACATGTAATTAATGGGAGCACAGGAACGACCTTACAGATGAAGGAAGTAGGGGGAGGGTTGGGGGTGCAGGGGGTGCAAGGGGTGCAGGGGGTGCAGGGGGTGCAGGGGGTGCAGGGGGTGTAGAAGGTTGCCCTCACCTGCTGAGGCAGGGCTGGGGGTTGTCCTCACCTGCTGAGGCAGGGCTGGGGGTTGCAGGTGCGGTTGGTCAGGGGTTGCAGGCGGGGGTCGCACAATAACCCCTCGACCTCCCTCAGGTCGCGCGTGCTAGCACAGCTCACGTTGCGCTCCTGCGACCCTGGCACATATATTAACCATTATATATTATATATATTACCACAGCTATGTATATCTATATTATGATCATTATATATTACGAAAGCTGTGCGATATATTACCCATGACATATTACAGATACATATTACGACAGCTATATATATTACAATAATTATATATATTACTACAATTATATATTACGATAGCTATATATAACTATTTCGATAAGTATATAATAAGTAGGCGGCAGATATATTGCAGATGATATATCATTTATATTACGACAGCTGAGCGATATATTACAGGTATAGCTTATATTTAGTGACAGGATCTACAGTAAAATGCCTTTCTGGGGGAAGTGCATTATAAGGGTGCTCAATTTATTGAGAAATATCCTAAATATTGTCGGAAGTAAATGCGCTTACCTAAGGTGAGGCTTCACTCCCCACTTCCCCACCACTACTCTCACCCACCACCCCCACACAGCAGCTGTGGGTACAGGGTACTGCAGCTGTGGGTACTACAAGGGACAGCAGCTGTGGGTACAGGGTACAGCAGCTGTGGGTACTACAAGGGACAGCAGCTGTGGTACACGGGGTGTGGGTATAGCAGAAGTGGCTACAGCATAAGTGGGTACAGGGAGAGGGCACAGTGTACAGCAGTGCGAGTTCCGTGACGTCACTCTGACGTACGCTGATGCGCAACGCGCACAACTCTACGACAACAGTGCGACGTGACTGTGCTTGGATTTAGGCCGGATTCACACAATACTGCCGGGCAAATGCCAGTCACGGTTCAGTCCAATATTCTTTAATGCATTTACATAGAAACATTCACACCATAGATATAGTAGATGCTTTGCACGGCTGGTATGAAATCTTCTAAGGAAATGCATTAAAAGAATATTAGACTGGAATAAAAAAAAGAATGTTAAAATGGACCGAGACTGGCATGTGCCCGGCAGTATGTGTGAATCCGGTCAACAGTATTTTGGAATCACTGAAGGCTGAAAGCGGAAACCTTATTTTAATGCTTGCAAGTACAGTTTTCATGCTCATGATGTGTAATTCGTTATGTTTCCTTGTTATCAGTTGTTTTTTTCTTACTGATGTTTTAATCAGTTTCGTATACGTCTATATCCTCAAAGCTGATTGTTTATTCATTCTAGACAATTCCTTGAACTGATGCTAGAGCTTATCCCTGAAACATTTTCAGTATCGGTACAGTTAATTTATTTGGAGTTTTCTTTGTTTTTTACTAATTATTGGGGAACTTTATATTTGAGAAAATTTATGGTATGGGTATAGGATAAAGACAAGACAGTTGTGATGACCTCAGCCACCACCACTCACCACAACGTAGAGGGGCCACTACCACTCACCACCACGTTGAGGGGCCACCACCACTCACCATCACGTAGGTGGAGCCACCACCACTCACCACCACGTAGAGGGGCCACCACCACTCACCACCACGAAGAGGGGCCACCACCACTCACCACCACATAGAGGGGCCACCACCACTCACCACCACGTAGAGGGGCCACCACCACTCACCACCACGTAGAGGGGCCACCACCACTCACCACCACGTAGAGGGGCTGCAGGAGAGGCCCGAGGGCCCTGATGGCCTCAGGGGCGAAGATGCTGGCCCCATCGCTGCGCCTCTCGTAGGTGACACTCACGCCCCCCACATCGCGCGCTCCCGGGAAGTCGATGCGCCAGTTTCCGTTTAGGAGGAACTGCCCCCCCAGGTCACGCAGCGCTGGGGGGATATGGGGGTTAGAGGGGGTTAATGCGTGGGCCAAATATTTCCGTTTAGCAGGAACTGCCCCCCCAGGTCACGTAGGGCTGGGGGGATGGGGGGGTTAGAGGGGGTTAATGCGTGGGCCAGTTATTACCGTTTAGCAGGAACTGCCCCCCCAGGTCACGCAGAGCTGGGGGATGGGGGGTTAAGGGGGTTAATGCGTGGGCCAGTTTCCGTTTAGCAGAAACTGCCCCCCCCAGGTTACGCAGGGCTGGGGGGATGGGGAAAGGAGAGGGGGAAATACAGAAAAAGTGGACAGCGCCAGTAGAACAACAGAAGGGATGACAGGGGGGTGGGGAAAAGGGTTGAAAGATCGTGACTTAGTTGGGCGTGTTTGTTGTAATGGAAAGGGTATGGAAAGGGTATGGAAAGGGTATGGAAAAGGTTTGGAAAGGTATGGAACGGGTATGGAAAGGGTATGGAAAGGGTATGGAAAGGGTATGGAAAGGGTATGGAAAGGGTATGGAAAGGGTATGGAAAGGGTATGGAAAGGGTATGGAAAGGGTATGGAAAGGGTATGGAAAGGGTATGGAAAGGGTATGGAAAGGGTATGGAAAGGGTATGGAAAGGGTATGGAAAGGGTATGGAAAGGGTATGGAAAGGGTATGGAAAGGGTATGGAAAGGGTATGGAAAGGGTATTGAATGAGTATGGAAAGGGTATGGAAAAGGTTTGGAAAGGCTATGGAAAGGGTATGGAAAGGTTATGGAAAGGGTATGGAAAGGGTATGGAATGAGTATGGAAAGGGTATGGAAAGGGTATGGAACGAGTATGGAAACTGTATGGAAAAGGTATGGAAAAGGTATGGAACGGGTATGGAAATGGTATGGAAAGGGTATGGGAAGGGTATGGAAAAGGTATGGAAAAGGTATGGAACGGGTATGGAAAGGGTATGGAAAGGGTATGGAAAGGGTATGGAATGAGTATGGAAACTGTATGGAAAAGGTATGGAAAAGGTATGGCAAGGGTATAGAAAGGGTATGGAAAGGGTATGGCAAGGGTATGGAATGGGTATAGAAAGGGTATGGGAAGGGTATGGAAAGGACTTGGAAAGGCTATGGACAGGCTATGGAAAGGGTATGGAAATTGTATTGACAAAAAGATATCGGGAGGATGGTAGTGGGTGAAAAAAAGGAGGTTGAAGACAATAACATAGTTCCAGTCAAGTTTATCGTTCCATTATGGGCCGCCCCATCTTCCCCCACTCACCCAGGTAGTTGTTGGACGCCGCCACCCCCTGATCCCCCTGATCCCCCATCCTCCCCCCACTCACCCATCGCTCCCCCACTCACCCCATCGCTCCCCCACTCACCCAGGTAGTTGTTGGACGCGACCACCTCCTCGACCAGGAGGTTGGTAGCCCCGGCTGGGATGAGTAGTACGTCGTTGTAGCCGGCGGTCAGGACGGGTGTGTCGAACACCCCGTCAACCGTCGCACACGTCGACCCGTCTCCCCCACACACCCGGCACGCGTCCTCCGCCAAGGGTGACCCCAGCATCCCATCGCACCCCACCGCCTGGGGGAGGTACAAGACGTACATGTACATGTTGAACACGTACACAACGAACATGTAGAATACGTATACAACATAAAAATGCGTAATGTACATGTAGAATACGTACACAACATGAAAATGCGCAACGTACACGTAGAATACGTACACAACATAAAAATGCGTAACGTAAATGTTGAACACGTACACAACGTACACGTAGAGAACACGTACACAACGAACACGTAGAATACGTACACAACATAAAAATGCGTAACGTACACGTTGAACACGTACACAACGAACACGTACTCAACAAAAACGCATTATGCGTAAACGTTCATGTACACGTAGTACACGTATACAACATACAAAAAAAAACACATTATACGCACACGTGAATTTACACGTAGCACACGTACACAAGGTACACGTACACAAAGTACGCGTAGAATACGCACACAACNTGGACTACGACGTCCTAAACTCATCATAAGGTCATAAGGTCGTAGCACACGTACACAAGGTACACGTACACAAAGTACGCGTAGAATACGCACACAACCTACACGTAGAACACGCACATAACGTACACGTAGAACACGAACACAACGTACACGTGGAACACGAACACAACGTGCACGTAGAACACGTACACAACGTACACAAACACACATTCCACGTACACGTGCACGCAGTAAATGAGGAACAAATAAATAACTGGAAGGATGGATGGATGAATTACAGAAAGAAATTAAAACAACTGGCATCCCCACATAGGGTTGCCAACGCGTATTTTACAGGCACGTGTTTTACAGGTATTTAAGGCGCATTGTATTAATTGTGACATAACGTCACAATTAATACATATATAGGCATCACACAAGCGTCACTCACCATACACACGCCGCCCATACAAGGATGATGGATGAATGAATTGCAGGATTAAATTAAAACAACTGGCATCTCCGCATTGGGTTGCCAACGCGTATTTTACCGGTATATAAGGCGCCCGGCCGTGGCGCAGGCCTCAGTACAATGTGAGTGTTGGAGTGGTGCGCATATGCTTTTGAACGGCTCCAGAGGGAACACTGCATGACATCACAATTAATACATAGGCATCACACACGTGTCACTCACCACACACACACGTCACTCACAATACACACACCGCCCAATATTTCAGGAAGAAATTAAAACAACTGGCATCCCGGCATAGGGTTGCCAATGCCTGTTTTGCAGGTATATAAGGCGCTCGGCTGTGGCTTAGGCCTCAGTACAATGTGAGTGTTGGAGTGGTGCGCATATGCTGTTGAACGGCTCCATAGCAGACATATGTATGTACATAACATAACATCACAATTAATACATATATATGCGTTACTCACCATACACACGCCGCCCACACACACGTCACTCACCATACACACGCCGCCCCATATTTCAGGAAGAAATTAAAACAACTGGCATCCCCGCATAGGGTTGCCAACGCATGTTTTACAGTATATAAAGCGCGCGGCCGTGGCGCAGGCCTCAGTACAATGTAAGTGTTGGAGTGGGGTGCATGTACTTTGAACGGCTCCAGAATGAACACTGCATGACATCACAATTAATACATATATAGGCATCACACACACACGTCACTCACCATACACACGCCGCCCACACACACGTCCCTGCCGTCCGCCCTGCAGGGCGTGCCGTCCACGACGGCCTGGGCGTGGCGGTAGTAGAAGCGCTCACCCAGCGGCTGGCAGTTGAGCTCGCACTCCCGGGGCGCCTTCGTGTAGGGCACCCACCTGGGGGAGGGGGGGGGATTATTGGGGGGGGAATTATCAGGAAAATTTGGGGGCTACAAATATATTGTAGTGAGCTGGAGGACCATAGTCAGCCATAAGTGGGGGACCATAGTCAGCCATAAGTGGGGGACCATAGTCGCCCATAGTCAGGGGGTTTCTATAATAAATTATAGAATGCTTTTCGTATATTTTCCCCCAAATTGTGGGGTGAAACCCAAAAAGTTCTCTCTCTTTAATATGCCGCGATATTATCACTAAATTACTACAGCTTTTGCAACCATAACAGGTAATCGAATTGGGGGTGCAAACTGTATAGAGGGACACTCAACGGCATCGGGTTTACAATATTGCAATGATCTCTATCAAGATAAAAGGGAAGGCATTTGACATGGCAGGTAATTAAGGTACACTATTGCACACTTTCAAATAGTGTTCAATAGTGTTCAATAGCCACTATTGAACACTATTGAACACTAGTGAACACTATTGAACACTATTGCACACTTTCAAATAGTGTTCAGTAGTGTTCAATAGTGTTCAATAGCCACTATTGAACACTATTGAACACTAGTGAACACTATTGAACACTATTGAACACTAGTGAACACTATTGAACACTATTGAACACTTTCAAATAGTGTTTAGTAGTGTTCAATAGCCACTATTGAACACTATTGAACACTAGTGAACACTATTGAACACTTTCAAATAGTGTTCAGTAGAGGGCAGAGAGCAGAGGGCGGGTTGGCACCAAAGGTAGGGGGGAAGGGAAGGGGTCCCAGCAGAGGGGATAAAAAGCTCTCCCCATTGAAGCCAAGCTGCTGTCAGTGGGGAAGCAAGGGATGAAACCCCAAGATATATTGCATCTTAAATACGCCGCGATATGGTCACTAAATATTATTATAGCTTTCCCATCCACAATACGTTTTCAAACTTACAATTAATGATAAAGTGTGCCCGCAAACCATAGAAAGAGTGAAACAGCCGATTTTATCATAACTGTACGACAACATCGACGGCATGTTGGCGGAGGTAAGAAATCAAAACGCAGCAGTGCGAGTGAGGCAACCAATCAGAACGCGACAAGGAGAAGTCCGGCACTAAAGCCACACCGTCACGCACCGAGCAACTAACTAGCCTAGTTAGAGTGCTAGCCTAGTTAGAGTGCTAGCCTAGTTAGAGTGCTAGCCTAGTTAGAGTACTACTGTACTGGTCTAGTTAGAGTACTACTGTACTGGTCTAGTTAGAGTACTACTGTACTGTCCCAGTTAGAGTACTACCGTACTAGCCTAGTAAGAGTACTACCGTACTAGCCTAGTTATAGTAGTACTGTACTGTACTAGCTATAGTAGTACTGTACTGTACTAGTTATAGTACTACTGTACTGTACTAATAGTGGCTATTGAACACTATTGAACACTATTTGAAATTGTTCAATAGTGTTCAATAGTGGCTTTTGAACACTATTGAACACTATTGAACACTATTTGAAAGTGTTCAAAAGTGTTCAGTTGTGGCTATTAAACACTATTGAACACTACTGCACACTATTTGAAAGTGTTCAATAGTGTTCACTTTGAAAGTGTTCAATAAAGTATTGAACACTAAACACTATTGAACACTATTGACCACTTTCAAATATCGGCCCGTATACTAATAAGGGCACTAGCACTACGAAGTATCACTACGCACTACAAGCCGTAGTGCGACATGGAACACTACGGTTGGTATGCTAAATAGGGCCAGAAGCATAACGCGCACTACAAAAATCTGAAGTGTCCTACACACCGCACTTCACGACGACACTACGGTATATTTCACTTTGTTTACTTCGTCAGCTATGGATCAGCCTGGCCTATACTTTCAAAAAAATTTAAGAGATCGTAAGTTCATCAGCCAATCATTGACGGCCTTTCAAGCAAAATCAACCAATCATAGACAAAAAATAGAGCGTAAGTACTTACGTTCACTTAGCGAATTTTGAAAGTATGGCCCCTGTTTGGCTTACAGCAAAGGCATCATCGCGTAAAAACCTCAGGAACTACATGCCATGAATATAAAAAAGTGTACCGCTTCAGTGAACAACATGTTATTCTTATGGCTAACATTTTCCTTGGCGGTTTGTTACCTGTAGACGAAGTAGAAAATACTTTTCTTGTGTTTGATACCATGTTTTGAATTTTCTTTTTTGTTTTTTTTTTCTGGAGTCATTTTGAATTCTTCTGCAAGAACTTTCCATGCTTCTCTCTTTTGTTCGATGTCTTTGGGAAGCGTGGACTTTGAATATATGATGGGAAAGGTGCGCAAACGCATTGCGAATTTCAGCTCACCATCACAATTGCCACTAGTACCATTACCACCACAATTAGACATTTTACATCAATCTTCTGCAAAGAATGAGAATTACTTAGGGAATAATTAATTATTTGAGCGCTTATCTATCATTCTTCAATATATACTCATAGCGTAGTGCGGCACTATAAAGTACTCTAACAGCGAAGTAGTACTTCAAAGTCTTTCTGCATAGGAATCAGTAGTGCGACACTAAACATTGTAGAGCTACTTCGAAGTGCTTAGTGTCTGTGACGTATTTAGCAAACCAACAGGACATTTCGTAGTGCTAGTGCCCTATTTAGCATAGGGGTCAGTGTTCAATAGTGTTCAATAGTGTTCAATAGTGTTCAATAGTGTTCAATTGTGTTTAATAGTGTTCAATGGTGTTCAATAGTGTTCAATAGTGGCTATTGAACACTATTGAACACTATTTGAAAGTGTTCAATAGTGTTCAATAGTGTTCAATAGTGTTCAATAGCCACTATTGAACACTATTGAACACTATTGAACACTATTGAACACTATTTGAAAGTGTTCATTAGTGTTCAATAGTGTTTAATAGTGTTCAGTGGTGGCTATTGAACTCTATTGAACACGATTGAACACTATTTGAAAGTGTTCAATAGTGTTCAATAGTGTTCAATAGCCACTATTGAACACTTTCAAATAGTGTTCAATAGTGGCTTAAGTCAGGCGGGCAATCGCTCATAAGTCGGGGTGGTGTTTAATGCTTGAGTGTGCACAAATTACACTCTACACACACATTCACTCGGAGAAGAGTTTAAACGCATCCAATTAAGGCTCATATGGCCTTAATGTACACACATACGCAAGGCGCATGCTCGAGGAGACATGTTACACTGCGAAGGTGGCATTCAAATAAACCCGACGATCACCAGATATTTACACAATATACACTGGTGTGCCCTCCATTTGAATTAAATAACCAGAGGGACAACACGGTATTTATTTTGTCAATAATTTCTCATGTTGCTCGCACCCAATGCAGTGGTTTTAGGTGCATGTCGTTTCTCTCATCGCCATGCTTCAGGGAACCTTGCGCGAATACAACAAGCCAGAATCAGCAAACGTTTTTCCTCTCCCTCCCGACACACATAGACAACTCTCTCTCATCTACTTATAATCTCTGAATTATATAGAGGATTCGAGGAAGAGTGTGCGCGCATATTGCGTGTGCGGTGTGTTTGAGAGGGGCACAACAATCTTAAAACCCGGGACCCATGAGCACTTTGTTGTTGTTGTTGACCCTCCCCGTCTCGTTTCGCTGCGCGAGGCGGGGCCTAAGCCTAGTTCTGGGGCCAGCCAAGTCGGTCGCCCCAGCGGGCCAGCAGCCCCAAGGCGTTCACGGGGTCTGCCCAAAGGTCACCCACCGACAGGGATGTGGGCATCTCAGGGCAAGAGAAAAGATGAATAGTGTTGTGTGTGTTGAGTGGGCAATGTGGAGAAGAGAGTACGGCAGGGTCTATTTCCTTTAGATAATGCGAGAAGTAGAGGTGATTTTGTTTGTGCGAAATTGGGCAAGCTGTCCGCGTGCAGGTCTGGGTAGGTTAATTTCAGATTGGTGGATCTGTGGCGCAGGACTGTTTAGAATTTTATTGTGAGAAAGGGTTGAGAGGTAGTTTCTGTGATTGTGGTATGCATTGTTGTAATAATTTGTTTAATTGTTTCGTGTGTGGCTCTTGTGCTGGTGTCATATCTATGTTGGTGGTGAAACCTGAATTGTAGAAAATGTTTTGTTTCATGAGGTGGTGTGGGTGGGTTGGGTTTTGTGCTTTCTGTCTGAGTTGTGAGGCGTGAAGTTTAAGGTGTTGTGTTAGGGGAAGGAGTTTGACTTCTTAGTGAAGGTGATGGATGTTGGGTCAGCGGTGCAGCCAGTGATTTTCCTGAGTGCTGAGTTCTGGATTATTGGAGTTTGCGTGGGTGATATGATTGGTGACCAGGATGAGTTTGCGTATACGAGGAGTGGACGCATGATTGTTTGGAATGTGGTTGTGAGTAGTTATTTTTATTTTCCCCATTGTGTGGCTGTAAGTGATTTGATTATTTTGATGGTGTTGTTGGCTTTGTTGTGAGTATACCTATTGTGTGTGCTGAAAGTGAGCTAAGGGTCAAAAGTGAATCCTATTATTTTTGGGTTGCGTACTGTTGGAATGAGTGTGTTATTGATAGTGAGGTTGAATTGCGTGCTACATTCGGCCAGGTATATTGGGTTGTGGCACTTCGTTCCACACCATTGTCATCAGAAATGCACAGAGGCGCTTTTTCCACTCGCGCATATGCCTTGTTTGCGACGGTTTCGATTGTGGAACCTGCTTTGGTCGCTTGCGAGGACTTGCCAGCAAGGCATTGACCTTCAATGCAGTGCACAAGCCAATCTGCAGTTGCGCGAGCAGTGGGGATTTTACTCCCAATTGTACACTGTTTAAAGGCCGTAATAGCAGAGGTGACGAGCGAGTAAAGCAGTTGGTGACGGGCACGACTGATGTCGACCCAAATTGCTTCAGAGAGATGTGCTCATGTGATTCAAAAATAAAACGCACGCGCACACACACACCACCGCTCGCATGTGAGAGCGCGCTATTTGGACGCGCGCATTTACAAACTCACACACGAGATACAGCAGCACATATGCATGCGCGCCCTGCACAAAATTTCGTCTTGCCAACACACTCGACTAGGAGTGTCCCGCTTTGCAATAACATGGTGCATAAAAGCCTGCCCGAGGGGAGCGTCACTTCCACCTCACGCCATGCGCTCGGACGATTTCGACGTTTTGCACAAGTCTGGCCACTGGGAGCGGGGCGCATGTGCGTTCGGCAAGTGAAAGAGCCTTCCAGGGGACAGCTGGCTGGACTTCTCACACTTTGCTATGGTCTTCATAGCATCCACAGGCCAAGTGATCCACCGCTCAGAGTTGTATAAGGGTCATGAGGCCCTCATACAACTCTGCAATATTTGATGCACTTCAATGGAAAGCATCGAAACTTGCCAGATGGCGCGTTGGTTCGCTGAACATTCCAGTCAGTGCTGTGCGATAGCTGAGTCAGCGGTTGGTACGCCCTCAAGCTGAGTCAGCGGGGGGTGCTCTGGCAAGCTGAGTCAGCGGATAGTTCTCTGGCAAGCTGAGTCAGTGGATGGTGCTCTGGCAAGCTGAGTCAGTGGACGGTGCTTTGGCAAGCTGAGTCAGTGGACGGTGCTCTGGCAAGCTGAGTCAGTGGACAGTGCTCTGGCAAGCTGAGTCAGCGGATGGTGCACTAGCAAGCTGAGTCAGCGGGGAGTGCGCTAGCAATAGTTTATCTCGTTGCCTGCGCAGGTTAGTCGAACAGCTCTCAGACATTTCTCTGGCCGGATTGCGGCCGGAGATAACAGATAATTATCCTATTTTAATTACTACCTCAAATATTTAACTTGATATGGAGCTATTTTCGGGATAAAAACATAGAGCAATGTTCAATTTTGGAAGATTTCTGCAATTTTGAATATGATTTGTTGAGAGTTCACGTAGAAATAGAATTTTATCTGCAAGTTTCTCCAACGCGTTTGCATTTAGAAAAAACTGTAGTTATTCCATTCACTGACCTAAATCTAAATGGTAATTAACTAGCAAAACAAGCCGGATTGGCGGGGTCTGCCCTCGCTCATCCTGAAATATTTTTCAATATAGTGCGTTAGCCATTACTAAAAAGAAACAGTTTAACCAGAGTTCTGAAATGATGGAGGCTTCAAACATATAAACTTTGCATAGTATTTCAAACTTCCCTTACAAAAATCGCAACTAATACGTACTTTAAATGACATTTGATGGCTGAACTCGGATGATGAAAATAGCTCGTCACACTAGCAACGTATTTACTTAATGGTTCGGTATATTTGTTCATCCTAAACCTGATCCCTCGGGACGTAATGTCAGAAGTTGTAATAACTGCAGAGGCGCTTTCTGTGTGTTGTGTGTGTGTACTATGTGAACTTTGGTACTTTACTTGCTAAGTGAACTTAAGTACTTACGCGCTATTGTCTTGTCTATGATTGGTGGATTTTGATTGAAAGGCCGTCAATGATTGGCTGATGAAATTATGATCTCTAAACTTTTTTTGAAAGTATGGCCCCTAAAGCCGTAGATTTATAGGGGCTGTTCGGAAGCGTACACACGATTCTTATAGTGTCGGGATATTACGAGAATCTGCAAGTTCATTCATCAAAAATTTAAATTTATGTTCTAATTGGTGATAATTATAAATGTTATTTAAAATACGCGCACCTGTTGTTCTATATATTGTAATGAGAGTAAAATCGTAGTCCTATTTTCGAAGTATAAGGTGCGTTCGAAGTTATAATCACAACACATAAGCTTTATTTTTCTTATCGGGATTTGGTATTACTTGACTGACGGGATTTGGGACAACAGGATTCTTACAATGCAGGAATCATCGAGTTCGGATAACGCCGGACTATCCAGTTAGTTTTTTACTATAATATAACGAACAAAATTAAAATAATACAATATCAAGTTAGCTTGAACAGATCTTATATTGCGGCGTTAGGCTTTAAAGTTTAAAGACTTTAAACTTAAAGGTATACAAACACAAAAATTTTGTTAATAAACCGAAGATTATGTGGAAAAATCGGAAACGTTTGAAAATGTCCGTAAAATTCTTACACTCAACAGCTCCCCATAAATTGAGCTGGTCTCCGAGCCTCTGAGGAAGGAGAAGCGAGGACGATTTTGTACCAACGATACAAAAATGACGAAAAGAAGTGCATACACAATTTTAAATAATAAAAAACGGAATAAAATATTGGAATGATAGGATATTTAACGATATTCAGAGGTTCGTGGGCTGCACTAACGGTTTTCTGGTTCACTGTTTTACATTTGTTTGAAAACAGTGAACAAAAAAAATATGATGAACTAATTATTCTATGTAAAATGTGGGATGAGCAACCTTATTCAGCCTTCGATTCTATTAATTTTTTGTGATAGTTCTTAGTTTGGACATAGTCAGCTGTGTTTACTAGCATGACAATCCGCTTTTGCATAACCGTCGTTGTAACACGCTCTCACATCCCGCTTCCCACTAGCCGCTTCACCCGCTTGACTCGCTTCTCCGACTCAGCGTTGCCAGATGGTATATTTCTATACCAAATTTCACAAATCTGGCATTTTCAGAAGGTGTCTGGTATGTTTATTTTGGATCTGGTATATTGGTATAATTTCCTAAATCTGGTATTTTCTGGCTTTTGCAAATTTACTGCATTAAGTTCCACCTCGGAAGTTTGACCTACCTCCTAACGTCCAGCGTATAGGCATCGATTATATATAGATTACCTTTATAGCAGCGTGACTATAGAGCTTTCCCGCCATTTTTGGACCCGCAAGTTTACCGCATGATGAAATAATTCCAATCTAATTGTTAACATTTAACAAAAGTGCTTAGTGCAATATAAGCGCGGGAGTGATGATCATTGATTGATTACTGATGAGTGATGATATGGCCTAGGACGAGTGTCGCACCGATCTCCGCGACGCAAGCTCCACCATTTTTGTTTGGTGGTTTTGAATTCTAGTGTGCCACTTATAACTTTTTGGAGTGCCATTCAATATTTCACTGATCTTGAAAATCATCATCCATTCATAGAACTGGCTGCCTACTGCATAAATTGTCTACTTTTGCCAGTCTCCAATGCATTCGTGGGGCCAATGTTTTCACAAGTCACCTATGTGAAAAACAAGCAACGAAATAAAATTTCAACTAAGGTTCTGGAGTCCGTTATACGGACCAAAAGCTATCTGCTCAGCCGCAACAAGTGATCAAACCCGAAATGTTAGATAAATGCAATATGCAAGCATGTTCGAAAATAAGCGAAAGGAAGATGACCTGTTTCCGTGGCTTGCTTATGTTGAGCGAAGGGGTAGAAGTGCCACACTGATAAAAAAAGGAAAAATTACAATTTAATCAAACACATTAAAAGAAAAGTGTCAAAATGTTCCAAACAAAGGGAAAAAATATAGCTTGTTCAATTTGGTTAATTATCGTCAAGCTAGATATGGGCGAAGTACATAAGATAATTTTATTTTCTTTTTATAACCAACATTTCTGACGAATAATTTCATTAAATTTGGACGTAATAGCCTGTTTTTGGGCAATAGAATTTCTGGTATATTTCAGGTATTTTGAGCTAGGCAATCTGGTATTCTCGCCGAGAAAAAACCTGGCAACACTGCTGAGTCCGACTTGGCAGATGGCAGTGTGACATGAACCTTCGTGCGGGTAGGTTGCGTGTGGAAAATTGCTGAACTAGACCCGCGGCACCGACCGGGTTCATAGTATATTGCGTTGATGCAAATGTCATGTTAAATTAACTTAACACGGTACTGCGTCATTGCTATATTTACGATGGTTACTATGCAGATGCTGAAAATATTTTGAGTGTTGGCGCAGACTGAAAATAGAGTACCTCGCTTCGAACTCTACAGTTAGTGTTGATTCAAGCCTGTTCGTGTGTTTGCAGAGAATAACGACTAGGTATACTAGAGTGCGAAAATTGTGTAATCTTCTAATTCAGATATTTGCTTGTCCAATTAATTAGCATAGTTCTTTGTCAGAATTATTTGATATTGTCCTGACTTTATCTAGGTACTCCAAAAATTTCAGTCCAAATGCGATTCCTTTCTGCACTAACTCTAACTCTAAGCACTGCAGGGCGAAACTTGCCATAACTGTAAGTTGTAACTGATTTAAATTGAAAGCTTTAGCCGCTTTCTGTGAAAGTGCAAAAATATTTATGCAGCCATAAATGTTGGTCGTGAGTTGGACCATCTGTTTTTAGAATTATAAATTTAAAAAAAATTCTGGACTGATAAAAGTACTAAAATAATCGTCTTGTTCTCAGCTCGATATTCCTGTTTTAAACAGATTTTTACAATTGATTGCCGTTGCTTACGTATGCTTTATCAGTTTATGCGTTTGTATTGTGAGCTAGCAGTAAGTAGGCCTAATTGATTTCAAGTCTACCATTGAAAAACTAAAGAAGCCTTGGAAGCTGTGCGTGGTAACCGAAGATTGCCGCGGCAGACTATCTGGCATCATCACGCTGTCGCTGGCGACTCCTAGACGGCAGGTGAGACAAGGTGCTATAGCTACCACCGCCGCCCCTCAGTGCGCCACTTTTGCTCACTAGCGAGATATGAGGTCAATTGACGTAAAATGTTCTCTCCATTTCTTGTCCTTCTTGTTATTAGTTTATCATTGGTAAACATCACAAGGAGAGTGCATACAAAAGTACTAAAGGTGAAGCATTTCTTTCCGGCGTGAGCTCATTTCTTGTGTTCGACTGAGACCCGGACTCCGTTTTTTACCTCAGTGTACGTCGCTTCGGACTAGAAAAAGTTAGCAGCGTGCGTTGTGAGATAAAATAACGCGCTACTAAGCAAAACGCAGAGTGACGTCTACTTGGTTGACATCATGGAGTTAAGTCGAGGCTAGACTGCGGACTGCGGTGACAAGTTCCCGTGTAACTTGAACAAGTTCGGCATTCCGTCTTCATGATGAGGATATCTATCTGGGATGTGAGAAGACGTGTGCTGTTGGTATTGGTCCTAACTTGTTTATTATTATGCTTCAGCTTCGTCTGCTCTAGATGACTAAGCTTACACTGGAATTTGATACATCCAAGGCTCTAACTAGTTGACTAGTGACCACCAGAAGTGCTTACAATGTTCTGTATGTTGTAATGAACGTTTTTTGTTAGCACGTAGCAAATTATGTGTCAAGCAGCGGCTACAAACTTTGAGGTGTGCTGATCATTGATTAGTTATGTCGTAATTGCTTTGACATGCTAACTATGCTCGCCTTATAAAGGGCGGTAAGCTGTGAGTAATTCATTCACAATAATTCACATGATGTATTTTCATCGTTAGACGGCATTGCGCTTGACAATGCGCCTCCGTCCCAGCATACCTTGGATCAACAGTGAGCTTGCTGGCAATAATCTACTATGAAAGCTCAACTGTAACGGTAAACTGGGCCGAAAGTAAAACTGTTGTTGGGTTATTTATTGATAATTTGAACTGAAGACGCACACAGTGATCTGGACATCTCTTCGCGCGATTTTCAATTTCCTAAAGCGTATGTTGAATGTAAACAAATTTCCTATCGCTTCAACCTGGTCCCTAATTAGGCCAAAATAAGGAGGAGGAGGGGTGGGGGGAGGGGTTTGCGTTCCTGCCCAAATGCTGCTGGCTAGTGGGTACAATTACACTTGTTTACTGTAGGATATCTCTAGTTATAGTCGGTTGCTAGTGCACGAAATTCGATCAACTTGAGGAATTTTTTGATTGTGAAAGCATTTCATTTTTCCGTTCGTCATATTTTCATCGCTGTCGAATTCTCATCACAATCACAAGCCGCCTACAGCATAAATTTAGGAGTTGCATGTCGTCAAAAAACTGTTATTTCGTTTTTGTTGTAATGAAAAAGTTAATAAAATAGAATATTGGATCGAGTTAGAGGCAAATATTACCTTGGATGTGTGCTATCTCTATCTTAACTTCTAAAATAAGAATTTTCCTCAACACACGCGTCCTCGCGGGTAACATGAGAAATGCAATGAAGATTTATGTGCTTGTGTTTGGGCTGAACATTGCTCATCAATCGCCAGATAGAATTTAAATTACCAGTGGGAAACGCGTACCATTCCTGGTTTCTGTTAGTATCGTTAATTAAATCAAATGGTTCGCGCAAGAATATAAACGATCTGTGCTCCGCTGAGAACAATTTGTTATGACATTACCGAAACGATAAAGGTTTCACACAATCATGTGAAAGGCATTGAATTAATGCGGCCGAAAGCCACGTTTTCGCAGCAGAAGCGCAGAGAAAGCTTGTCAGGTTCTGGTAGTTACTGAAGCCTTGTTTAAATTTTCGCGTTCATTTTTACGTCGTGACTTTCCCTTTTAGTTTCCCTGGCTGGCGCCAGTGGTGCGCACACCAGCCGCCCCTCCAGCTCCGGCGGGAACCGTTCCCTAGAGCTCTTTGTGCTGCTACAATGGACCCTCTCCTTCTATCCTGACCCAGCGAGAAATTGCCTCGAATTATAATCGGGGTGCGAGATCAGCTGAAATGCGTCTCTTTTATGAGCCTTGCATTCGCTCGTGATGCTCGAAGAATATTCTACTAAGCAATGAATTGCTCTGAGTATTTCGGAGCCTGTGCTTAGCATGGTTTAGCAATACGTGGATATATTTAGACTATGGCAGGTAGTCACAATCTAGCTATTACAAGTCTAAAAGGAGGTACAGATTAGTTCTCTCGAGGAACTAAACGAGGTCGACCCTGCTCTCTAAACCTAGCTTACGATTAAATTTTGATAAACTTGTGGCGTCGTGTTTAAAGGGTCCTATTTCTGGGTTAAGTGAAAAGACAAATTGAAGCAGATGATAAATTTATTACGTTGCTATTATTTCTTCAGAGGATTTCTCTTATCTCGGTTATGCCGTTGCTGAGGCATACGTGAGTATGCTCAGGTATATATATGCCGTTGAGCCTCTTTTCATTCATCTGCAATCTTTCTGAAATATTTCTCTCCATTGCGGATTTATGGTTTCAACGAATAAAAAAAACGACATCCACTGCAGAGTTATGACCGTCTCTTACTCGATTGATTAATTGAGCAAATTGTTCGAGTGTCGCTCATGCGCAACACCTTTCGCCCTACATTTTTCAGGTACGGTATAGGCATTGCTGAACACTATTATTACTATAGTACCGGTACCCGTACTTATACGCATACGCTCTACATTGACTCAAGGGAGTTGCTGCTTATATATATAGTCAGCTAATCTGAACTATGGAATCTAATGGGTTGTGGAATCATGTTGTTACATTTGTAACTTCATTTTGTAACTGTAACTTCATTTGTACTACACGTAACGTTTCAAATACTCGAACATATCTCATAATTAATAATTTAACCTGATCAACTGGATAATTTAACTCTGAAATATGAGAAATATGGGTCTGGATATAAGAAATAGTACTTTTTCTTAGCCAACTGCCTCAATCTTTAACTACTTTAAACTCACATCAATAAAAAGAACTTTCGAAAATGTTTTAACCTCGAGAAAAAGTTGAACAATTTTTATTTTAAAGTTTGACGTTACGAAAGAACTGAGGTAAATAGGTATGATTATAACTATAAGTAGATTATGTAAAGAAATTCCGATTCTTAGATGTTTGAGGCTTTAATTGGAAATTCCTCTTTAAAAACCTTATGATCAACAACACAGCCAATGAAACTCAAAATTTGAAGCAACGTGCAAGCGTAATGGATATCTTGTGATCGTTGAGTCGGCCTGCCAATTTTAGTCCAAGTACAAACTTTTGAAAAGGCTTAGCTTGTATAGCTTCAGTCTTGACGCCTTCAGCATATTAAGCGATTGAGTAGGGTTTGTAAAGAAATACGAACTAACTCGCTCTAAACTCGTTGAGCTCGAAACAAACGCATTAAAAGAAAAGCAAACAAAAAAAAAAGATTTATACTTCCTCATCCACTGCAATGATGAAATAATACTTCCAATTGCTGAACGATCAGAGCGATACAGTCTGGCGGATGCAAGGAGAAGCAAAACTTCTTGAGGAATAGAAAACTTGCGCCTGGCGCTGCACTTGACCATTTGTTTGTGCAGGTGTCATGACGCTTTTGACAAACAATGTTTATAAGCATTAGATAAATATTTACTGCGCCTAAGTATTACGCGATAAACTATTTTACATTGAATGATGTGTCCTAAGCTTTTATTACATGAAAAATGTCAAGAAACGATAACTTCTCAAAATAACGTTTACGTGTTTCCGAACAGCTTTTTACGGCTGTTACCGTACGCAGTGAAGGCCATTGAGAAATTAAGGAAATTGCGTTAGTACCTATTAAGTCTACGCATCCTCGCGGTTTATGTATTACTTCAGCAATCTACATTCAAGCTCCATGGATATTTTTGACTTGCCCTTATTTCCGCGTTCATTATTCATTAGCCTAATTTTTGGAAGAAAAGAGAAATTTTATTACCCGTTCAAACTTAAGTATTATTGTTACTACAAACTTAAACTAGAATCATATCAGGTTGCAGGCGAAACGTAAAATCCGTTCCTTTAAATTCCTAACCATTTTTAAAACACTCTCCGCAAGAGCAAAGGATACCTACCCCGATAGTCAGCATGCAAATGAAATCGTTTACTATAGCTTAGTGTTCCATGTGTGTAAAATTTTATTTCGTTGATGGAATTGTCCTTAGGTGTATGCAGTAGGAAATACTTAAGCCTAGTCTCATCACAGCCGAAGTTGAGCTTGCAGCTAATGGTGAACGATGATGACTTTGCCGGACGGCCGAGACAGCTTCGACTGCTTGAGCGGTTCATTCGCCACCACCGAGATACGCCTATAGACGCCTTCGTAACTTGCAGCGTCCTGAATAATTTAGCAGTTCTCTTCAGCAAATGAATGAAGAATATTTAAACATCTAAAACTCTTATGGCAGTTTTTAAAATTCGCTCGACCTTTTTCGCGTAAGTTGTATTACTAGCGATTTTAAGTTGCTTTGGAAGGTAATTAGGATTATCGATATAACTAGAATAAAGAAGAGTTCTGGAAAGCAGCGGAGCAAAATTGCATGTAATTTCCTAGTCTTATAATTCCAGGTCTTGTATACCGCTCGTCTCCACAGTATCGGGCATCGTATTAATGGCATCTCTGAATTGTTCAGAAGGAAATGCATCTGTAGTAAATGAATCGGTATCGAGTTCCTTAGTTCATTCGTGTGACAATTCTGAAGCCTACAGCGAGGGAGCGCTGTGACGTCAGAACAAATCCTGACAGACTTCAAGCGCGTGCACGATAGTTGGTCTGGTCGATAGTTGGTCTGGTGCTGCCGTCAAACAATGTGGAATGTAATGGAAATGTCCTCATAATATCTGCTTTAGGCTTGTCTCTTATGTTACGTGATCATGCTCGTGTATTGCTGTTCTTCAATTCATTTCATTTCTTCCACCAGCTATGTAGGTACAGATTTCTCATTGAGAGTGATTGGTATTCAGCGGCAATATAGGAAGGCTTTTTTTGGAAATGTCAAATTTGTAACCCTAGGTATCGGTGACAAAATATCGGAGCGTATCCAGCGAAGTTTACATCGTTCCTGAAGTTTCTTAGTTTGGTCATAAAACCCGAACTCGCTGCTCGTCGTACGAGGGTTTAAATGCAGTCTCATAGTTTCCGTCCTCTGCCGTAAAATTGAGAGGCGATGCCATAAAATGTCAGGAAGAGCAATTCAATTCCTCGGCGAGAGTCGCGGCCATTAGCAGGCTTGTCAAATCGCCTCTCAAGAGCGCCGCTGCAGACGTAATGGCCGCTGTCCGTGTCACTGCTGAACCTAGAGCATCTGCTGCAGATGTTCTGATACACGAGGCATGTGCATCTGCTGCAGATGTTCTGATACACGAGGCCTGTGCATCTGCTGCAGATGTTCTGATACACGAGGCCTGTGCATCTGCTGCAGATGTGCTGGTACACGAGGCCTGTGCATCTGCTGCAGATGTGCTGGTACACGAGGCCTGTGCATCTGTTGTGCAGGTTTGTGTTGGCTGAAATGCTTGCTATGAGCTGTGGTGCTGGGGAGGTTATGTGCGGCGTGAGCTGAAAAACCTATCGTGAGTTTTTTTTTTTTTGCCGCGTTGCGGTACTCGTACATTGAAAGACTCAGTGAGCTGGGGTCGGATGATGCTCACCATCTCGCACGTGATGCTCACCACCTCGCACGCGATGCTCACCACCTCGCACGTGATGCTCACCAAGATGCTCACCACCACATATGTGATGCTCACCACCACATATGTGATGCTCACCACCACATATGTGATGCTCACCACCACATATGTGATGCTCACCACCACATATGTGATACTCACCACCACATATGTGATGCTCACCACCACATATGTGATGCTCACCACCACATATGTGATGCTCACCTCCATGCAGTGGCAGTGAAGACCTCGTCAGTGTTGTCCGTGTTGGAGAAATTCAGTGTTATATCATCGAAGTCATCTCTTACAAATATATCTCAATAATTGATGTGTTGTATTTTGTCTGTTGTTTTTTGCGAACTTAACATTAAATATTCTCGAATAATCGCTCTTGGTAGAATTGTTGTGCAGCAATTTATCTCTGACTTTTCCCCTTATTTTTCCTTATATCTTTTATCATTTTAATTTTTAGATTATTGTTCACATTTTCCAGCTAGATGAATAAGTACCGTAATGCTTAATTTGATGATGAATGTACGGAACTATGAGAGTACTAGTTCTCATTATTCATTAAAAAGTAAAATATTGTTTGAACGATATTGTGCTGGTTAAAGTTTTTGGCTATAATTCATTGGGAAATATCATTCGCATAAATATATAATAAAAGTAAATTAAGCACTCCTGGGTAACCTGCTGTGGTATGTCCAACCGAAAATATTTTATTGCTTAATGGCAGAAGTGACCGGGCGTGTGAAGTAAAATGAACAACAAACTAAAGGGTGCGTGACTGGACAGCATCTGGGAGGCCGTCTCATTGGTATACTGCAGTCGTGCTACCCGGAAGTGGTGCAAATGCTTGGCATGTTTCTACCTGCTCGACAGTTCAAGAATACCTTCATTATTACACGTTCATTCTAATAGAATACACGGTCATTCTTGTCCCTGATTAGAATTAAGTTATTATACTTCACTCGCGCTCATTCCAGTGTCGCAGTCAGCTGCCTCATCTGACCAACGTGCCTGCTTTGGTATTCTGTCCACCACTCCCAGTTTCCTGGCTGCGTCAATACGTTATAACTTCTGGCCGGCTCCTCCTCTTCCATGAACGAACCCAATCTTTCATGTTGCTATCGTTTGGCATGTTGCTGCGGTTGTGTGATCACGACTTATGGATTTGTAGCGAGCACCAGGACCTGATCTGTGTCAATTGATGGAGTTGTAAGCAGAGGTCGCCATCGATCGCTGCCCCTGAACTCTCGTGTCCAAATTGCTGCCAAGTCAGCATCGACCGTTCTGGCCGCTTCTCAGTAGACCGTTCATTTCCACTGCGGAACTTTCTAACAAGAGGAAGAGACTCGGAGTTTTCTCGGAGTTTCCTCTGCTTGTATCACTAAAAACTACATTTCCGTGGATGGATGTTAAAATCTCCTTGTTGAAACTAGTTTTTTTAATTGCTGCATTTATTTATGAAGCATAATTTTTTGGAAGACTCGCGCTGTTATTATTATTATAATGATTTACATAGATGTTACAGGAGCCTGTACTGTACGCAAGCAGCCTTGAAGTTACGAGACACGAACATGTACGTACGATGGTGCTATTCATGCAGAGTTATTCCTATAGGAGGTGCTACCTATAGGGGGTATTGTTACTAAATATCTAGAACCCTTTAGTGGCAGAAATCTCGGAGCACCAATGTTTTTTGCTGCTTTCAGAACACATTTTTTAATATCTCAGAATTTAATAAGCAAGAACTTTCATAGAAAGATCGAGATACTGACGCAAATGGTATTCAGTCTACTGCCCAGTTTCAGTTGAGTTTATTCAATGTATTCTGTAGGCTTCAGAATGTAACTAAACCCCACAAACACGTGTTATCTGAAGCTAATTGCCCTGAAAAATAGAATAATTAATTTTCTTACGTCAAGGTAAATATATACACGCGGAAGTTCAAACTTATATATAAAATCTAAATCTACTTTCAAAAATGTCTCCAACACGTGCACAAATCATGCTAGTTTGAGTTGATTTTATTGTTACTGAAGCTCTGAAAGAATCGCAATGAGCTGCTCATGCCAAGCTGAGCGACATCCTCCCGATCTTGGCCACGGTGCATACGGGATCGATAACGAAAACGAACGCGTGGAGAGTGTCGTCGCTATGCTTGCCTTCCTTAGTATCCTTAGTATTTGTTTGGGATATAGCAGTCCCAGGCCACGATGGATCGCCGCCTCTGATCATCGTTCATCCGCCCTCATTTGGGCCACCTGATGCACGATGCTGTTGCTTGCTTCTCGCCTCTGGTAGTGTTGCAGGGGAGGTCGATCTTGGACTGTGCTCAGGAACACGTCGCTATGCTTGCCGCACCGATGCCCGATGTCTTGTTGCATCCTAGGAACGTTTGCAAAAATTATATCCATTTTAAATGTGACGCGTTTTGAATTACTTGAGTGAAAATAGTTCGGTGCAATTTTTTAAGCGCACATTCTATTCATAGGCAATACCTTGACTTATAATATGGTGTTAATATCGAAACGTATATTTTCTAAACAATCAATTATGTAAGCGTGCCCTGATTGTTTTCCTGATGGACAATAGGTGGTACGTTAGTCTGTTATGCGCATTATCCGAACATGAACGACATGCTCATTCATCACCAGCCATCGTTAGTTATGGCGGCGAAGAATGATTAGCACAGCTACATTTTATGTATTGTCCGCGAGAAACTTCTCGCCGTTCGCTGAAACCTCGCCGTTCGCTTATCACGAGTTCTGTGGGACGATCCTACTTTATCTAAATAATGCTTCCTAAATAAATTTAATTTCCTAATTTAAAAGCTCGAAAATCATTGTCATTGCTTTGACCGAGGTTCTAATTTAAGAAAATAGGCACAGAAAAACATTCTGGACTCATGTCGTCGACAGTGCTTGTACCTGGCGCCTTGTGGGGGTGGGAGAAGCTACCTGTGCGAGGCTGCTAGCTTTCATGTTGTATCAGCACTCAAGCCTTGAGTTGTGGTCAGTTATTGTTAGTGTAAAATACGAGCTTTAACAAGACCAAAAGGTCTGGGTCTCATCCATCCTTTGTCCGCGATGCTATTAAACTAGTCTTCAGTGACGTATTACGTCATACTTTGTCCCGACGATCAGTGTTGAAGTTCATTGTACGAGTGCTCGACTTTTTATATTAAGCTGGTCAGACTACCGTTTAAAGTAAGAATAATTATAATGAACTTTTCTTTTTTCGCGCAATGTCTTAACAGTCATGGTTTTGATAGGTTTCTTTTTATTCGCTAAATATTGCATTCCATCGCTTGCGTCGCGTCATGAATGCTGGTAATAGAACTATTCTAGTTATTATCAGTGCTATTTCACTTCCTCAGCCTGAAGTTCACTCCTAAGTGGTATGGTTTGTTTCTATGAATGAAAAGCTTTGGGGAGCTGAAATAGTATACATACTTTTTTCGGATGCAAAAGTATTTATTCGTAAAAATTTTTGGTATTATATACCTATCTTTCAATAATATGCACTTATGCACTTATTTATCGTATATAAAGTTGACGAAGTTCATGTATGAAAGCTACATAGGGGATTTGCAACGAGAGTCAAACGGCAGCTCTCTGTAAGAGGAACAAGCCTTTCTTAAATTATCATACATTTACTTTTATTCTTGTTCCAGGTGACGGGATTCGGAAATTCAAAAGATTTATTAATCTCAGGCAACTACGGCCCAACTAGTTCTGTATACGAATTTACTTGGAAGTTCTCCAGTAATGATATCACCATCTAATGAACTTCAATTCAATTAATATTTGACATGGTAAGGTTTTGTGATAGAAAACGCGTTTACGCAATCAAATATAAATATTTAACGTTCAACTGTGATACGCATACGAGACACCACGAAATGTGTTATGCGTCTACGTATTTGTCCGTTTTTTAATAGAACCTACGCCATGCTAGTATCGTACCAGTATCTCTGCAAATGAGGCATTCTCCTCACGGTCGTTCACTGTTCTATCCTAACTCTTGGAAAAGACGAAGTTCTCAGAGCAAAGTTATGAGGTCTTCCGGTGAAGTCGGTTGATTGAACTGTTCTTGTGTTGACTTGTGCACTTCTTGTTTAGACGTAACGTCGGCAGACCGTGTATCTATGTCCGCTCTTCGGGTGTGATTTTTTTGTAATCATTTGTACCAGCACGAGACTGCTGCGCTCACTGCCGTGACACTAGCACCGTGAGACTGCTGCGCTCACTGCCGTGACACTAGCACCGTGAGACTGCATGCCGAGACACCAGCACCGTGAGACTGCCGCACTGCTGCGCTCACTGCCGAGACACCAGCACCGTGAGACTGCCGCACTGCTGCGCTCACTGCCGTGACACTAGCACCGTGAGTTGCCGCACTGCTGCTCCTGATGCCGTGACTTGATAATCGTGGTAATCTTGACTTGGTATTCATTGTCGTTCATTAATTGCTCAACGGGCCGTCAACTTGAAAGAACGAACTACCGTTATTTGTGATTTCCGGGATTTCTTCCCGAATTCATTGATTCATTATGCAGCGGGATCGTTCTTGGATAATTGACTCTAGATACGAAACTTATCATAAGTAATACGGGACCAAAACTAACGATAATTTATACGTAACTACTCCTTTACATGACAATCGCGCTTGAACAAATATGCAATGAACTTGTACATTCTTTCATTAAGATGCTTGTAAACGGTAATTCTATTTCAAAGGAAACATCTACAGACACCCAATTGGATAATGTTTCGTCTAGTTGGTGAGTCTTGATATGCTTTCTTGCCTTATAGTCATAGTTTGACCCGTAAAGTTTGGCAACATATTTCGCCACTTGTGGAGAGATCTTTTCCTGAAATTTTTATACATGTATTCACATTAATCCAACTCTTGGAAACTCATAGATGGAAGTTAAGGCTTCATATCAACTCATGTTGACTCACAGACCAAAGTTGAGGCTTCATACAGGCTCAGCGGCCTAGCTTGGCATTATTAACTTGGAGGAGCTATGGAGAGCAGGTGTGAGCTCTTATTTGCCTCGCAACACCTGAGCCTGAAAAGCATCCTGAGCGTCCAAGGTCTCGCGCTGACGCTCAGTCGTCATGCTGCTATATAAAGCTACCGAAGTGGCGACTCCGCTTCCACTGATTGAAAGAAAGTCCGCTTCTACTGAATGCCGACCGGTCATCATAATGGTGTAAATT